CAACTTGATATCTACTTCTCTTCGGACGCCCAATCCTTCAGCAATTTCTTCATAGCCAAACAACGCGGATAAACGCCGCGCTTTGCCTCTCCGCATAAGAAACTCTCTCCAACAGATAATTCCAATAAAACAAAAAGTTCTAAAATAGACAAATTATAAGCATGCTATGAACAACTACAATAACTTGCATCTGAAGCATGTAACTATCAACTCGTTCAATTAAAAGCTCTACCCTTTGTTACTCCTACTATAAAAGGACCACCAAATTCTTCCATTTAGTCGCCACAAAATTGTAACCCCTTTGCTGATCCCATCCCTCGTCAATTTAAGCAATCAAGCCCTTTTAGATCTAAGTTTCAATCATGTCGCTCGAACATCATCACCGCCACCATCATCATCACAACATCTTCAACCAGCATAAGGAGAAAGGCGACGAAAAGTCACCAAATGTTGACTATAAGAAAGATCTGAAGCACCACAAACACATGGAGCATCTCGGCAAACTCGGCGTTGCAACAGCCACTGCTTATGCTCTTGTAAGAGTTCCTCAAGATCCTTCTTTGTAATTATTCTTTTTTTTTTTTCCATGTCTTATCTCTTATATGATGCTTTGGACATTAATAAAGCACGAGAAGCATCAGGCCAAGAAAGACCCTGAACATGCGCATAAGCACAAGATCAAAGAAGAGATAGCCATGACTGCAGCAGTAGCTAGTGCAGGTTTTGCACTACATGAGCATCACCACAATAAGCAAGCAAAGAAGGAAGCCAATAGGCATCATCACCATTAGTACATCAGCGGCCAGTTACAGAACTATTGCTTTAATAATTTATATACATGTAATATATTATCGATGTATTTGATTGATTCATCTGTTTTGTATGATGCTGCATTCACTTTGTTTGTTGCTTGTATGGCTTGTAAGTTCTTTGATTCATTATATATTTATATAGTATTAGTTTATTTGATTGGGCTGTTTATATAAATAATAGATTTCATCGTTGATTTTTGGTTAAATTTATACACACATCATATACACAAAGCTGAAATCCAAGACCTCTTAGTTAGCAGCCAAAGCTCCCAACCAACAGACCAATGTGCATTGTGTATATTGTCATTGACTGCTGAACTTAGTCATGCTCAAAATTGATTCGTAATAAAGCTCATTTATT